ATTTAATTTTATATGTTGTATTCCTGAGAAAATAAAATTTGTTTACCAAAAAAAAATGTGGAATTCACTGCCAGAGGATGTGGTGATGGCCACAGGCATAGACAACTTTAAAAGGTGGTTAGACAGATTCATGAAAGACAACTTTAAAAGGGAGTTAGAAAGATAGTAGCTACTAGCCATAGCGACAAAAAGGAATCTTCATGTTCAGAGGCAGAACACCTCTCAACCCCAGTGCCAGGTAGGGCTGCCAAGTGGGGGCAGGTAACCCCCCGCTTTGGAGGCCTGATTTCCGCCGCCGCAGAATCGGGCCCTGGGGTGAACTCCGCCCCCCGAAGCGCAGCCGTCAATCACGGGGGCGTGGCCCCGATCGTCGGAGGGAAAACTCTATGGTTTTCCCTTCGACGATCGGGGCCACACCTTCAACATGATCGATGTCGCACATCACTTCTGGTGATGTGATGGCGGTGCACTCGCGCGCACACATCAAGGACCAGCTCCCGGAGCCCGGCAAGGCTCCCCCGCCGGTAAGAAGATTGGACTTGGCAACCCTAGTGCCAGGAGGCAAAAACAGAGGAAGGCCTCAGCCTCTATGTCCTGTTGATGGCCCTTCAGAGGAACTAGTTGGCCTCTATGTGAGATAGGATGCTGGACTAGATGGACCACTGGTCTGATCCAGCAGGGCTCTTTTTATGTTCTTCTGTTCAAAATCCTATTCATACTAGGACTATTTCAGTAACAACATCTGCTATTGTGATAGTTAAAGTAATTTCCAATGAAGATACTATGTAAAACACAGAAAAAACTAAAATACATACTGGTATTCATTTTCTACTTTGCTACTAACAGGACAAAAAGGCAATATTCAGCAAGGTAATAGATTATATGTTTATCTAAATTGTGAAAAATGAAACTCTACTATATAAATTTATTCTTTTAACATCTGTATGATTTTGCTTATCTTTCTTATAACAGGCTGTCAACAAGCTAGCAGAGATAATGAATCGGAAGGATTTTAAACTGGACAGAAAGAAAGTAAACATGCAGGATTTCAAGAAAAAAGAGAAAGAAAACAGAAAGTTACAGTTGGAACTTAACCAAGAAAAGGAGAAATTTAATCAAATGGTGATAAAATACCAGAAGGAGCTTAATGAAATGCAAGCGGTAAGATTTCTTGATTTAATTTTGTTATATTGTGAAATCATATTTGTAGGGCTGTTAGAATAATGGCTGTAGGGGCTGCAGTGGCTCAGTAGTCAAGACACTGAACTGCAGACCGGAAGGTCAGTAGTTCAGCAGTTTGAGACCTGAGTGCTTCATGACGGAGTGAGCTCCCATCTCTGGTGCCAGCTCCTGCCAACCTAGCAGTTCGAAAGCAAGAAATTGCAAGTAGATAAATAGGTACCGCTTCAGTAGGAAGGTAACAGCGTTCCATGTGCCTTGGCGTCTAGTCACGCCAGCCACATGACACAGAAACGTCTTCCGACAGTTCTGGCTCTTCGGCTTGGAAACAGAGATGAGCACCGCACCCTAGAGTCGGATTCGACTGGCTTTCGAGCAAGGGAAAACTTTACCTTTAGAATAATGGCTACAGTACAGTGGCCCATATTACATGGTTCCTAGAAACCAACTGGGGTGATTTTTGTTAAAAAAAAAATTATACAGTTTTCTTTTAAGGGTCCTTACCTTTGGAAATAAATATTGAGAGGGGGATACTTCTGAATCTGAGCACTGTAGACAGGAAGTTAGATAACCTTACTGAAGGGAAGAGCTATTTGCTGCCAGTCTTCTCCTGCCTGTGAATGGAAGCAGCTCAGGCAGCACTTTCTCCAGTATCCAGTTACTAACCTCATCCTTTATTTAGTTCATTTGTTGTTCATTTGTAAGTCATGTTATTCTTACTACTTTAGTTTTTTATCTAAGGGAGGGTGAGGGAACTGTTTGTTGAGGTGCAGAGCCTTGAGATGCAGCTTGAGGTATGGGGAAAATGGTTTGAATATGCATACACTCACCTAAATTCAAGTGTTTGTTCAAACTGTTGTCGTTTTGGGGCCCAGCCCCCCAACTTTTTAACAAGGCCACATGACTTACTTTCAGCCCAGCCCCCCCCGGCAAGATGCAGGGCTGCTGCAAACTCCCTCTACAAGATGCCAGGCGGTGGATATCCCTGGGGGAAAGGGGGATCTCTACCGCTTCCCAGGCACTCCTTGGGTCTTCAAAGCACAGCCCCAGCTCCAAGCTACCACCACAGGCATGTGCCAGAAACAGCAAGCTATGTGACCATGGTGGACAGTGCACTCGGAGGAGCGGAGAGGCTCGAGAGGCGGCTCTGTGGCCCAGTCCCCCTGGGGCGCAGCCAGGCAACAGACACACAGGCCTCGCGAAGGGGAGGCTTTCAGGCGGCAAATCGTGAGGCCTCACTGTGCCACCTCCCAGTCTGTCTGAGTGGCAGAGCTAACTGACTACCGCTGAACTGGTATCAATGCCTCCTTTCTTGCAGCCATTGGGGGATCTTAAAGGTCTAGCAGGCGAGAGGAGAGAGCCCGGCTGGCAATCTTGCGTGCCCAGGCTTTTGTTTGGGCATTGTGTGTGCTCCCTTGCCGTCCCCTTCCATCCACATCGGCACACTTTCCCTCACACACTTTGCCAGGCTGGCTGGGCTCTCAGGTATCTGGCTGCAGCGACACCCTGTCAGCACCTCCCAGAGCCCCTACCTTCCCTGCCCCCATCCTGAAGCAAGGCCTGGTTGACATGTGCTGCTCAAAGTCACCATAAGCCAGGAGGCGGCTGCCCCCCGCTCCCCTGCAAGGGAAGGCATGCAGTAGGGTGAGCCGCCCCTGGAGAAGAAGGTGGCCAAGTTTGGTGAGAACGGGCAGCTAATTAATGCCAGCACCTCTGTTAAATTACATTTAATTTAATTAGGCAGTTCCACAGTGCCCCCTGAGAAATTAAAATGCCCCCTGACGCAGAAATTCCTGGCTATGGGCCTGCTTAGAAGGTTTATACTGAGAGGCAGCTGCATTAGTAGACTTCAGTCTAGGGACAGCTTTGACATCTCCTCTGGGAGAAAAATGTCAAGTAGCAATCTATGGCAGCCTGCTCTAGGATTACTCCTTCTCCATACAGGTGTAGCCAGGATAATAGTAAGAAAGAGCATGGAAAGTTTTCCACATTTTTCTTTCTAACAGCTGTTTTGTTTTCTCTGGCTATGGCCTGGAATGTAGTACATGGTGTGTTGTTATCCTGACTATTGCTGAGTAGAGTCTTGAAGCCAAGAGAATTTTGGGGCATAGTCAGAGGGCAGGTTTTAGTTATTTCAACCATTAAACTCTTGTAGTTTTGAAATAGATAAAAGGGGAAAGCCATAATTCCCCCTTCACATACTGTCCACAGGCTTTTCCTCAACCCCAGTTGCAGCAGCACTCATCCATGATACTGTTTCCCCTCATTTTGTGGCTTCCTGACTTGGGTTTCCATATGCCGTGTGTGACGGACTGCACTTTAAAATCTCAGAAGTGCTGTGTAAACACTTAACGGACCATGAAGGGTTAATTCCTTACAGGCTGCTCCAAGGAATTTCATTGGTTTGTATCAACTGAGCAGAGAAAGACTTGAGAGCTGAATGCTGAGGAGAGGGAGTATGGATTCAGCCCTGACTAACAAGATTCTAATACTGACAGAGTGTGAGTCTATCCCTGACAGAAAATGGTTTAGAACTGATGGGGTTTGTGTTTAGCCCTGACTGAAAGCAGTTTAACACAGATGGAGTACTGGGAAAGTTGTCAGGAGGAGTGGGTAGTTAGGTGAAGACGCCCATTCAGGCCAATAAAAGTGGATAGATCTTCTAGTGAGAGAATAATTTACCTACCCAATTAAAACAGGGAGATAGCTCTGAAGAGTGGAGAGATCCCTATTCCGGTTTGTTTAGAAACTGCCTTTTAAATCTTGAGGAAGTTAAAACTTAAGAAGAATACTGGTGGAGTTTGGGTACTAGACAGAGGATCCCCGCCTTCTGGAAACCAAGAGAGCCAAATACACTAAAAAAAGTACACTGGAGTGTTTGGGAAACACTGAAATAAGAAACTCTCAGTTGCTTGAAACATATGAATTGTAGTCTGTGCCTATATTGATTTACCTTAGAAATTTTACCCCTGATTTTAACTGACCTTCCCCCTCTGTATTAAATAAAGTATTTTGTTATTTTTGAACTTTAAAAAGCCTCTTGAGCACCATTTCAGTGGTTTAAGTTAAAGGAATGAACTTGTCCCTTCCCTCAGGTTCCTGGGCTTAGTTAGCAGCAAAATATCATACTGTGACAGGGTGGGACAGCTACAGATCTTCAGAAAAGAAGAACATCAATAAATAGGGCTGCTCAGTCAGAAAGGGAGAGAAAAATGGAGGGAAAATCTGGCCTCTGAGGAAGGAAAGTAAGCTAGGTTGTCATACCATGTCACTCTGCTGCTGAAAGGATTCACCAAGTATTACAGAATCTTCCTTCTAGGCTTCGTGTGATTGAAAAGAATTAAACTATTGATATTGACAATATTTTTACATTTCTTGAGATTTGTAATAATTGTTCTGCAAGTAATTAGTGCTATGTTTCATTAATTTTAGTGCCACATGTATTATTGCCAAATTACTTAATATAAGAGACTGTTATTGTTATTACTGTATTCTCATATTTTTTGTTGAATACAGCAACTTGTAGAAGAGTCTACATATAGGAATGAACTTCAAATGCAGCTGGATAGTAAGGAGAGTGACATAGAACAACTGCGTAGCAAAATTTCAGACCTACAACAAGGCATGGAGTCTACTAGCGTGGCCAGCCTGCAACCAGATGAAACTGATGGTAATGTTCTGGGTAAGAGGCATACGTGTTTTATCCTTCCCTTTATGTGCTTCACTTTATACTTATACAAGGTGTTGCCTTTTTAAAAACAACAAATCATTTTTAAACATTATTTGACTTTTATTATTTTGTATTTCTTTTATGGCAACTATGGTTACAGGATTATGCAATGTAAGATTTTTATCCCTAAACCAGTATGTGGAATTTTATAGTGGCTCTTTTTACAAAGAAAAATTCAAAGTTGGATCACTTACGTAGATCATTTGTCTAGAATAAAATTTGCATTCCCCTTATGTTCAGTATGTGGAAAAGCTTTAGCTCTGCCATTGTCATCACTGTTCTGTTAATTTTGATTACTATAGATTATATTTTCATTTTGTACCCCACCAGTGGAGAACCACTGCTACTGTCATATAAATTTGTATATTAAATAGTTTTTACTGCAGGTTTTTAAACTTAACAGTGTCTCATCATATGACTAACAGTATAATAACATGCAGGGCTTTTTTTTGTAGCAAAAGCCTAGCAGGAACTCATTAGCATATTAGGCCACACCCAACAACAGAAACTCATTAGCATATTAGGCCACACCCCATGCCTTCTTTTGGCTTGCCCAGGCGCCCTGCACCTGTGGGCCGCCCGGGTAAGCCAGCTCTTGGACAGACCAGGGAGGCATTTAAATGCCTCCCTGATCCTTCCAGAGCCCCCCTGGCTCGCCCGCCTCAGAGTCGCCGGGGGGGGGAGTGTCACTCTCCAGGCCTTCCCTTTGTAGCCACGCACGTGCAGAGGTTTTGGCTGTAGTGGGCGTGGCCAACTCTGAAGCCAGCCGGAACTCTGTTCCTGTGCGTTCCTGCCCAAAAATAGCCCTGAACCCTGATGACATGCATGTTTAATCTCTAGCATCTGCTATATAAGGCCTCCAACAAGAGTAAAATCTTTTTTTTTTTAGTTGTCTGTTTACAGATTAGTTTGAAAGAACTGGAACCAGCCTAGCATTCTTAGTAACTTAAATAATGCTATGCATCTGGTGTCATGTCCTTTATACTGCTGGACACTTTAAACCGTGGACTGGCAATTCTCGGCCTTTCGATTGCTCAAATAAATTAAATTATTTAAAATGACAGCATTTTTTTGCGGCTATTGGAATTGTGTTAATGTATTACTATAGTTGGAGATGAAAAAGAATTTGTTACAGATAGCAGTACCTTCTAATAATGTGGTCTCTTTTGTTTGTTGAATTCTAATAAATTATATGCAGGTAATCCTTTATATATTTCAAAAAGAATCATTATTGCTGTTTTAATAACATGCACATGATTGTATTCTTATGTTCAACAGTGAGGAGACGACAAAAGAATGAATCATCTAATAATTCATTAGTTAAAATGTGCTAGTTAGGCAAGGCTTAAAACATTTACATAAATTTTGAACATAGAGGAAAAACAGTGGCTTGGATCTCACCAAAGAGCTTTCCTGACAGAAGAATTCCCACTAGTGGATCATGACTTCTCTGCCCCTTCATATTGCAGCTCCTGTGGGACAGAAAATCCCTAGGTGTCTGCCATAGGAGAGGGCAAGTAACAAAAATCTCCTCCCACTGCCTTCCATAAGTAGAAATGATTGTCCATCAGCTTTCCATAAGCAGAAATACTGGGATCCAACCCAATATGTTAATTATAACTTCATAATGAAAGATGTAATGTGATAGAAAAATATAGTTTAATTAAAAAAAACAACACACACACTATTGCTTGTTTTACCCATCATCCCTTCCCTCTGGCAAGGGGTCCCTGTAGTTTCTTAGTGCTGTATACCTTTAGAGACATAATACAGGGAGACTGGTTTTTACACTGCCTTAGGACCCTACAGTTTAAATTGCCAGAGATGCCCTTGTTACATAACTAAATGCTAGTCCATAGGAGGAAATGTCTGGTAACAGCTTTAAGGGTTTGACCAAGTGGTACAACATGTGGAATGTACGTATAAGTTCTGTCCTTTCTCTTCCTATAACATTTGAAAACTGTCATTTGAAAATAAACTGCTTCTCTCTTACTTTTTATATTTAGCTGATTCTTCCTGCATTCCTTATTTATTTATCTTCTATTCTTATCTTCTGTGAGTAATGGGATATGTGGGTACTTTTGTTTGCTGTCCTGCTTTCTTCCTTTCATGTAAAATGTGACTTTCAGTTGTTGTCTTTATGCTGTTTATTTCATCTGCTTCCTGCCCCAGTGTTAAAATTATATTTAGTAGTACTATTCATCCTGAAACACAATTTTCAGACCTAAGTAATGTCTGTGTGTTTCAGAACGTTTCCCGTTAAACTGTATTGAATGTTAGCAGTTAAAAAAACCTTTGATGCACACCCTGCAATAGTTGCATTGCTATAGTAAGTGAATTTGTGATCAAGCATGATTAAATGCTTCAATCTTATTTTTGTTTAGCTGTGCCTTGTATTCCTGCTTTACCAACCTGGTAACTGCTAATGGCTGCATGAACATCTTTAATTTTTCTGAAATATTGTTCTGTGATTAAAATTGTACTTAATTTTTTAAAACCAGAATCAAGAATGGAGGGTTGGCTTTCCATACCAAATAAAGGAAATATAAAACGTCATGGATGGAAGAAACAGGTATTTAATAATTCCGTTTCCTTTTAAACATAAGCCAGTACTGGGGTGGGTTTTATATCAGCTAGCATATGTGTACGTGCACAAGACATCAAACACACAGAATACATTGATGCTCTCAGTTTTACTTTTCTAGTGCAGTTCTGTAGCATGAGATGTACAACAGCCCTTATCGGAGAAGAAGATACTTTCTCTGGGCAAAGGATAGTTGAGGCTTCAACCAATGTTTCTGTCTACAAATTTGCGACTAATGTAAAGTACAACAAATTTAGCTTTTTAGGACCGCTTTCAAAATATTTCCACATTACTATAGAGCGTAGGTGAAAAAATATATCATAATTGGATCTATGACAGTGATTTAACCCACTGCTGGTACCAAGTATGTAATATTGTCATCAGTGACCCTTAAGCCACAAGTAAAAAAAACAAACGGAGATTTAGCAGGACTTCTGACAAGGCAACATTATATAGCAGAAACGGGGACCACAAAAATAAATGGGGGAATTCCCTCCGAGCCCCCCAACCCAGCTTCACCACTTCAGCAGCAACAACAGTGGTGGTTTCCCCCCAGCCCAACAACTTTGGTGCCTTAGTGGTGGCAGCGGCTCCTTGCATCCTGCCCAGCCTTACCTTCACTATAGCAGCGCTTCCCTCAGCCCCTCCACCTCAACAATGGTGGCTTCCCATCTAAACAGCCTTGTCTTTGGGGGGATTTAAATCAATCCTTTTTTAAAATGTTTTCTGATTTTCCTCCAAAGTTTGTCAAAAAATCTGCCTTCTGTCAGTGTGGTCCCGAATGGTAGATTTAAGTACCCACAGATATAGCCACACTTTGCTATTAGAATATAAGATATGTTTATGATACATACATATAATATACAGATCTCAGGCATACATTCAATATAACCCCTTGTACCTGATGACTGTTAGCTGGTTCCTTATTGTAGCGTAACGGTGTTTAAGGATTGGAGGGAAAAACCTAGGATCTGGGATTTTATTTTCAGAGTGGTGTGGGCACTGAAAAAATCTCTCCTCCCTTCCCAGATTGCTCCTCAAGATTCATAGATCTTGCTGTTGAACTGTATGGCCCTTAATGATAATCACAGAGTTAAACTGGGTGTGGCACATTTACTTAATTGATTTTGCTTTAATTAAGTTATAACGTTTCTGTGTGAACAAAGGAATGGGAGTTGAGTAAAAATGACTTAGGAATGTATGTCTTAAGAATGCATGCCTTAAGAATATATGTCTTAATAGTTTTTCTTTCTTTCTATTTTTTCAGTATGTTGTGATAAGCAGCAGAAAGATTTTGTTCTATAATGATGAACAGGACAAAGAACAATCTAATCCATCCATGGTATTAGATATAGAGTACGTTCTTCTAATTTTGGTTTCACATTAATCAGCAGCATGTTATAGTTTTTAAAAGTATGAAAAGAATGGATTTGAAAATATGAATCAGACCATGGAAGACTGAATTTTCAGCTATGTTTCAGAATGCACCGTTAAATCTAATTCTGACTCAAACATTTTGTCTGTAGAGTTTTGAATTTAAATTTTAAAATAACAGTTACTATTGGGCCAGAATTAAACAAAATACATAATGATTGCAATTTTTGCACACTGAAACAAAAATTCTGCTTCATCACCAAAGCATGACCTAAAATCCAGTAAAAAGAGAATCAAAGAGAACATTTTCCTCTCTCTCATAGTTGGAAATGAACCCAAAACTTTATGGCTCTGTTGGCCATCCTAGTTTGTATCAAATATAGTGTTAAAAATGCTTTCACACAATCAAAATCTGAAATCTGGGCCATAGTAACGAAGATCTGTGGTTCAGTCTGAAGATTTAAATTATTATTTAATTGATGGAAAGTTGCATCAAAAGATGGATTAAGGAGGGGTCCCCAGCCTTTTTGAGCCTACAGACACCTTTGCAGTTTTGAGGCTGGGTGGCAGGGTCCTCTGTAAAATACCTGCCCCAGGAGCCTAGCCAAGCACACTTTCAGAAGAGGAAGAGGCATGGGAAATATAAACACACACGCATAGAAGAAGACAACCAATAGGATACAGGGAGAATAAAACACAGAGAAGATGATCAGGGGGAAAGGAAGGGGTGCTCTGGTGCTCCGCAGCCCTCCCAGCTCATCCATGAGTCATGTTTACGGGATCCTGTATCTTTCCTCTCAGTAGTGGACAGGATCCAAGTAGAAAGCCCCTTTATTTATATGAAGCCAGCTACTTACTGGTTCTGTCTTCACAATGCCTCTGGCTACTTTCCTGAAGCTCATGACAAGTGCCTGAGAAAGTGCCTACGGCCTCCATGATACCTACGGAGCAGTATGTTGGGGAACCTTGGATTAAGGACATGTAACAGCTGCCTTTGTGGGGAAATATTTGGCTATTCCTGATACTTTTAGTAAAATGTTTGTTTCTTAACTGGGCCAACCTTGTTTTCCTAGATGATTGTGCCTGAATTCAGATATTCCTCTCCTATATAAAAAAGATGTTTGTGGCATCTGGTCCTTTAGGAGTAGGGTAGTAGTTTCAGGAATGGTGGGTAGTAGAAGTATGTGTGGTTCCTAGACACAGAATGTGCGTGAATTTGCATACGCTTCATCTTAAACTGGTTATACATGCATAGAGAATCCATCCTAACCCACGGCTACCGTATAGAATTTCTTCAGAACCCCATTACTCCTGTCTTTGTCTCTACACCCCCTTCTTCAGCCCTCCTCGAAGAGGTGTTTGTCCTTCTGCAGAAGGGAGCCATCGAGCAGGTGCCATTACATCTACGGGGCAAGGGATTCTGTTCCCACTATTTCACCATCCCGAAGCGGGATGGAGGCGTTCGACCAATCTTAGACCTACGGGTGCTCAACAGCTTTGTCAAATACCTCCGCTTCCGCATGGTGTCTCTGCAGCAGATTCTGCCACTTCTACAGAAGAACATCTGGATGGTCATTCTCGACCTCCAAGATGCGTACTTCCAACTCACCATCCACCCATCCCACCGCCAATACCTACACTTTACTATTGGTCAACATCATTACCAATATACAGCCCTGCCATTTGGCCTTTCAAGCCCGCCAAGAGTCTTCACAAAGATGATGGTGGTGGTCGCAGCCTTCCTCCGTCTCAAGGGGATCTCACTCTTCTACCCGTACATCGACGATTGGCTCTTGGTAGCGACTTCCAGGGACGATCTAGTCTCAAACATCAACGAGACACTACTCCTCCTGGAAAACCTAGGTCTACAAGTAAACCTGGAAAAATTCCAACTTCGACCGGTCCAGAAAATACAGTACATCGGTGCGTTCCTGGACTCCACAGCTTGCAGAGCCTACCTGCCACAAAACAGGGCTGCGGACATCATGAATCTTACCACTGTCGTGCGTGCTCGCCCCTTGGTAACGGCTTTCCAAATACAGAGGTTCCTTGCTCTGATGGCTGCTACCACGTCCATACTGGTCTTCGCCAAGCTGAAAATGCGTATCCTACAACTTTGGTTTATTCACAATTTCAATCCAGAGAGAGACACACACACCACCCTCCTATTCCCACCTGTCAAAGTACGGGACTCTTTACTTTGGTGGACTGTCCCTTCCATCCTATTGCAGGGAGCACCCTTCCATCCTCCATCACCCCAAATTACCCTAACTACAGACGCCTCCCTCTAGGGCTGGGGTGCCCACATGATGGGACTTTGTGTCAGAGGCAGATGGGGCACTCAGAAACTAAAACGGCACATCAATTTTCTGGAACTGCTTGCGATACAGTTCGCGGCCACCAGTTTCCTGCCCCTGATCAAGGGGAAATGTGTCACGGTCCTCACGGACAATACTGCTGCCCTCAGCTATGTGAACAGGCAAGGGGGCACAGTCTCCCAACGTCTCTGCGACCCTGCCCTCCGGCTATGGCACTTCTGCATCGCCCACAACATCTTCTTAGTCGCCATGCACATCCCGGGCCACATGAATGTGCAGGCAGACCACCTGAGTCGGGCAGGACTCAGTCTGCACGAGTGGGAATTGAACCCAACTTACCTTTTCCCATTCTTCCGCAGGTGGGGGGTTCCCCAAATAGATGTTTTGACCACCAGAGCGAACAAAAAGTGCCCTCTGTTCTGCAGCCGAGGTGTCAGGGACCCACAATCTCTAGGGGATGGTCTCCTCTATCCGTGGTCCAAAGGGTTTCTGTACCTCTTCCCTCCACTGCCCCTGCTTCTGTGAGTGGTTTGCAAAATCATCACCGACAGAGAGGACTGTGTCCTCATAACCCCATGGTGGCCACGGCCACCATGGTTTTCAAACATCCTCGACCTGTCAGCGGGGGTCTACCATCAATTTCCTCCAGCACAGGACCTCCTGTTCCTATCCCAGTCCCCCTCTCCTATACCACGACGTGCCACGAATGAAGTTGACAGCCTGGAGAGTAGCGTCAACAGCTTTTCCGCCCGCATAGCAAACATTTTGCTAAACTCCAGAAAGCCCACTATGCGAAGATCATATCACTACAAGTGGCAAAAGTTCTGTTCCACCTTGGGTGACGATACCCCTTGAGCCACCTGCACAGGTCTCGAGAAAGTTTTTCAATTCCTTCTGTCTCTCGCTGACTCAGGACTTTCTCACTCCTCATTAAAGGTTTACTTGGCCGCACTTTCGGCCTACCATGTTCAAGTTGAGGGATGCACACTGTTCTCGCACCCACTTTCTAAACGTTTTTTGAAGGGACTGTTGCACCTCTACCCTCCCATCAAAACTCCTGTCGTCTTCTGGACCTTCCCCTGGTCCTTCGCCAACTCACCAGGAAACCTTTTGAACTGCTCGCAACATGCGACCTAAAATTTCTGTCATGGAAAACAGCCTTCCTCAGCAAGGCAAGTTGGAGAAATACTGGCTTTTAGACATGACACTCCTTACTTGTCTTTTTTGCCAGACAGCGTCCGCCTCGTACCTGACATCTCGTTCCTGCCAAAGGTAGTGTCAGAATTTCACCTACAGGCAGAGGTCTTCCTCCCAGATTTCTTCCTGGCTCTGACATCCCCAGAAGAGAGGCTATTACGCACCTTGGACATGAAGCGTGTGCTCCTGTTTTACTTAAATTACTTAAATAGAACCCGTCCAATGAGACGTGACTCAACTTTTCATCTTCTATGCGCCAGCAAGGCTAGGGACTCGCATCACGGCTCAGCGCCTATCGAGGTGGATTGTAAGTCTCATCCGCCTCTGCTACCTTATCACCAAGCAGCCATTACCCTATCAGGGCTCATTCAACCAAAGCTGTTGCAGCCTCAACTGCCTTCCTCCAGGGAGTTCCCCGATGGACATTTGCAGAGCCGGTACGTGGGCTACGCCTAACACGTTCATAAGGCACTACGCCCTAGACGTCCGAACACATTGTATTTTTTATACTTTATTTTTCACATAATGAGACCTCTAGTACTCTTGTACCTGATTTTTATATGTAGATTTTATTTGGATATAAATATGTTCTGTTGGCTTATATGAACCAGAATCTGGATCTTCTCCTCCTTGTCTCATTCCCTGTGATCCCATTGGAACTCAAAAAGCTGTTCTTTGAGGTTGGGCAAACCTTATGCACAATATGGTACATGGGCTGCACTGAGGGGGCATTGGATGAAATTGCAGTGAACTGTTTTACCAGTGCCACATTACTTATGCAGGAGGCTCTTCTGGTGGAGGACAGAGAGAAAGATGGGTGATAGCATCCATTTCTTCTTCACTGCAACTACTTGTTCCCAACAAAGCTTGGCCAATCCCCATCATCTTTCCATCAGTCAAAGGGGGCTACGGTTAGGAGACAAAGGAGGAAGAAAAAATATTCAGGGGTCTTCGACGTGGTCTCTGTGCTTCACACCAATGGGATCTAGTGCGCACGCGCTGGATCGATCAGCATTGTAGCAAGCTGTTTTAACGGATTTTCACGCCCAGACCTTGCGCATGCACAGGAACCCCACCGCGCATGCTCAGAGGGGAGGGCGCGGACATCCCGCCAGTTCCTTTCTTACCACCGCGTTGGAAAGACCTTTTTCTTCGTTGGTCTGATCGGTTCGCGTGTTTTGGCTTTTTGCCTCAAGGCTCTTTGGATTTTTCCCTCAGTTTATTCCTTTACTTCGTTGTTCTTTCAAAAAACTTAAAAATACACCTTTTATTTTCTGCTGAGGGGGAGGTTGCCGCTTTACCTCTGTTGGGCCTTCGGGCTACCCCCCCTTTCTTCTTCGTTTTGGTTTTTATGGAGAAGAAGTGGGGCTTTTTTAATAGGTGCAAGGGTTGTGGTAGTAAACTTGCTCCTCCTGACCGTCATACCCTTTGCATACTTTTTCTCGCAGAGTCTCATCGACCCAAATCCTGTCACCACTGTGCTCGCTTTTCAAACCAGACCCGAAAAAACCAAGCTGCGCGCCTTAAAGTGGCCGTGCTAGAATCGGCTCTACATCCTTCCTCAGCGATGGACGCCGAGAAACCATCAACATCAACGGCTACGGCATAGAGGCCTGCCTCCAATATCGGCCGGCCGACACTGAAGACTCCGGCATCGAAGGCGCCATCCTCCGCGCAATCCTCCGCTTCCACGCCGGTGAAAAAGAAGTCCAGGCCAAGTAAGGAGCAAAAGTCGGCAAAGAAGGGCTCTTCCAAACCCCTTAAGGCGGCAAAGAAGGGGAAAGTAGTGGTGGCTGCACTGGGTGATGCCCCTAAAGTGCCTCCCGCTCCAATGACTGTATTGATACCGGAGGCCCAAGTCCCTACATTGATACCGACCATCCATGTCTTGGACTCCCCTGTCCACCAAATGGAGCGTCCTTACTCTGACATCAAAACGATAGAGCTCCTAAGTCATCAAATGGATGCAGAGCCTTCTCCATCTCCTTCCCAGTCGTCAACGTCAATGGTATTGGAAGCTCCCAACATCGATCCACGTCGGCACCGATATGCTTCAGGTCTGCACAGTCAATCTGTCGATATCGACAACTGAGATTACGCAGGCTTCTCTCAAAGATATGCTGCCGCTTTGTCTCCGAGACTTCCACGGTCCAGAAGTCGATCCCCACGAGTCTTCTTACCCCTGCCACGACCTCTGTCTTGGGATCAACGACAGATGAGGTATCTGTATGGGGCTTATCTACCATCCTTGCCATCACTGACTCTGGCGAGCTATTCCGACTGGGATCGATATTCATCCCACTCTTCTCATAGATCGAGATCGCACAACAGGCTGAAACCTTCAGCATCCCTCTCTCGTCCTCCTGCAGATGATCCTGCCCAGCATAACTTGGATCACAGTCGTCCTCCCAACCCTCAGGTCATTCAAACCCCAGCCGTTTCCACCCCTGTCGTTCCACCAAGTCCTTTAACTGGTCAACAGGGCACTCCTGTCCAAATGCCACACCAGGAGTCCTCTGATTCAATGGAAGACAATTCCGATACCGAAGCATCTGAGGCTCACACCTCCCCTGATCATAAGTCTCCTAATCAGGCTGTCGCTGATGATTTGCCCATCTCCCCATCCAACAATCTTACATCATACACTGATCTTGTAAAAAGAATGGCCCATTCCCTTGGCCTCTCTGTCGTTCAGCAACACCCGCAGGTGACGGATGCGGTTTTTGACATCGTCCAGCTTGATTCATCTTCCACTCTGGCATTACCCATGTCCACTGTCCTTTTGCAAGCTACAAAAGCACCATGGGAGAAACCTTCATCAGCCCCGGTGCTGACAAGACGACTGGACCATATGTACAGAGTCCAAGAGACAGGGGCCGAATTCCTATTCTCCCATCCTCAACCAAACTCTCGCTCGGAGACGGTCTCCTTCTTCCCTGGTCCTCCAGCCTTCTGTACCTTTTCCCTCCTTTACCCCTACTTCTGAGAGTGGTATGCAAGATCATCCGAGATGGAGCGGACTGCTTGTTGATAACACTGTGGTGGCCGAGACAACCATGGTTCTCCACAGTCCTCGAGTTGTCAAGGGGAATTTACCAACAATTCCCTCCGGTACAGGACCTCCTCTTCCTGTCAGACTCCCCTCTCCTACATCACGACGTACCATGCTTGAAATTGACGGCGTGGAGAGTAACGTCAAAGGTTTTTCAACCCGCGTAGCCAATGTTCTACTGAATGCCAGGAAACCTGCTATGCGAAGGTCCTACTATTATAAATGGCAACGATTCTGTTCTTCCCTAGGTGATGATGCCCCTCGAGCCTCCTCCGCAGGCCTCAAGAAAGTTTTCCGATTCCTCCTGTCCCTAGCTGACTCGGGACTTTCCTATTCATCGTTAAAAGTTTATTTGGCCGCAATTTCAGCCTGCCATGTTCACGTCGATAAATGCACCATGTTTTCACATCCGCTTTTGAAACGTTTCTTAAAAGGTTTGTTACACCTCTACCCTCCTGTCAAGACTCCTGTCACTCCCTGGGATCTTCCTCTAGTCCTTCGTCAACATACGAGGAAACCCTTTGAGCCACTCGCAACTTGCAATATGAAATTCCTGTCTTGGAAGATGGCCTTTCTAGTGCCCATCACCTCTGCAAGGCGAGTCGGAGAAATACTGGCTTTCCGGCATGACACGCCTTATTTGTCATTCTTGCCAGATGGCGTCCGCCTCGTCCCTGACATCTCTTTCCTGCCAAAGGTAGTGTCAGAGTTCCACCTACAGGCAGAGGTCTTCTTCCCGGATTTCTTCCCAGCTCCGAAATCCCCAGAGGACAGACTGTTACATACCTCAGATGTCAAAAGGGCACTACTGTTCTACCTCAACAGGACTCGCCCAATGAGACGTGACTCCCAGTTGTTTGTCTCATATGCACCAGCGAGGCTGGGGACTCGTATCACGGCTCAACGCCTCTCAAAGTGGATTGCGGGTCTCATCCACCTCTGCTACTTGATTGCAAGGCAGCTGTTCCCATCAAGACCCATTCAACCCGGGCTGTTGCGGCTTCCACTGCCTTCCTCTAGGGAGTGCCCCTGATGGACATCTGGAAGGCTGCTACCTGGGCCACGCCTAACACCTTCATGAGGCATTACACCTTGGACGTCCGTAAGAACTTTAATACCAACATGGGACATCATTCTATCTTCGACGACGCAGTAAGGACCTGCCAGCACCCTCCTCCAGGTAGGCCACTGCTTGCTAATCTCCCATGGGTGTGAAGCACAGAGACCACGTCGAAGATAAACAGGTTGCTTACCTGTAACTGATTATCTTCAAGTGGTCATCTGTGCATTCACACCACCCGCCCTCCTTCCCCGCTGCTGTCAGCTTCTACATTTTCCATAGGGGTTGATTCACGGCGGTTCGAAGGAACTGGCGGGATGTCCGCACCCTCCCCTTTGGGCATGCACGGTGGGGTTCCTGCGCATGCCCGAGGTCTGGGCGCGAAAATCCGTTAAATCAGCTTGCTACAATGCCGATCGATCCAGCGCGTGCACACTAGATCCCATGGGTGTGAATGCACAGATGACCACTCGAAGATCATCAGTTACAGGTAAGCAACCTGTTTTTCACAGAGCACCAACATGCAGATTAAAGGGAAACAGTTTTCTGAAGAGTGTTCTTTCATCAAGAGATGATTGCATCATTCCTGCACAATTTTATAATAAAACAAATTACTTTAAACAAATTACTATTAAAAAAGAGGTGACTGCATCAATATACATTTCAGTTCATACCATCTTATTAAAATTAATAAAAATATGTTTAAAATTAATACAATACTGCTATTTTGAAGAAAAGCAAGTGCCAAAGGTGATCTTCATTAATAAATCTTTTCCAGTAACATGTGGTGGCCTTTGTGTATATATATATATTTTTTTTAATCTGGATAGATGGTCTCAATTGTTCTTACCAGCATTTCACTTAAACATGCTAAATACCTTTAATGGACAGAGTGTCTCTTTACTTCAAACAACATTCCTATACTCGTGTAGTTACACTAGTTTTTCCTGCAGGAAAAATACATATAATTAAACACAACTGTACATGTGTCTTGTAGTTCTGATTCAGCTACATCTTTCTGATGTAAGTACACTGATATTTAAGAATGTGCATTCAATCATCCACACTGTTTACTACAGGAATTGCTAGTATAGCATAAGTATATTCAAGTCACACGAAACTGCTTTGTAAAATATTTGTCTGCTGTAATTATTTTGTGCTAACAATTAAGGGATATTAATGTGAAGAAATTAATGTGAAAATTAATTTACAGCTCTACCACAACTGCTTAATTTTAATAGTGGTTACTAAAATAATGCAATGTTTATTTTATTTCAGTAAATTATTTCATGTTCGACCAGTAACACAGGGAGATGTATACAGAGCAGAAACTGAGGAAATTCCCAAAATATTTCAGGTAATATTATTACTAACTTTCATATACCAACTTTAAAATGGTCTTTTGTTAAAAAATTTATCCAGTATTGTTTAAACTAATATAAAACACTGCTGTATACTTTATTGTTTTTCTCAGATTCTGTATGCCAATGAGGGAGAATGCAGAAAAGAATTAGAAGTAGAACCAGTGCAGCCAGCAGAGAAAACAAATTTTCTTAATCATAAAGGTCACGAGTTTATCCCTACACTATACCACTTTCCAGCCAACTGTGAGGCATGTGCCAAACCCCTCTGGCATGTATTTAAGCCACCCCCTGCAGTGGAATGTCGACGATGCCATGTTAAGTGCCATAAAGACCACTTGGATAAAAAGGAAGAATTAATTGCACCATGTAAAGGTATGGCAGAATTTGCTTAAATTTGTACTTTGTCTAATTAATTTCTAGTGGCACATTTTGATGACCTTGATGCAAACAACAATAGTGTATTCAGATCTGTATACCTAAAATAATGGTAGTTTAACTATCTGGTGGTCTGGAAAATGTATTAAAATCCCATTTTTACAAACTGTTAGCATCTGTGGCGAAACGGGGACCCACCCTCAGCCCTGGGAGACTGAGGTGCCGTCCTGTGGCTTGCAAGCCCCTGTTTTGTCCTTCCCACCCTGCCTGGTGGGACTATTTGTTCTGGCTGCCACCACTCACTGAATTAAGTCACTGCCTTCCTTGAGGGACAGTGAGACCCCTCTGGCTAAATTTCCCACCTTGGGAAGTGGTTATCTCAATCTTTGGGCGCCCCCTGGAGAGTTGGCAACCCACCAGTTTAGGTCCCCTGGCCTCCCTTTGCCCCTGGTAACGTGTAGAGCGGGGAAGTCTAGGTGGTTAAGGCACACCAGGCTTTTTTGAACTCAACAAAGGAAGATTTATTGAACTATATACATTTTGGGCATAGAAAATAAACTCAGGCACTTCAACACAACCTGGGCACACAAAACAAACAGGATCGAAACGCAAGTCTTCTGTCCCACCACACACCCTCTCTACCTCGGTAGTGGATTGCGGCCTCAGGCCAGGATTTGCGGTTCCCTCTCCGGTTATGGAGAGAAACTCCAGCCCTTCTCCACAGGACTGGCCACTGCCACCCTCCTGGCTCTCCACCACGGTCTATAGTGGCCTGGATCGCCCCCGGAGTCTCTGGTGACAGGAGTCCCACCTGTGCTCTTCCTTGAACCTGCTGTCCACGCTGAAGACCAGGCTGAGACTGACTTTTTTCCTCAGGAGCCAAAAAGCCCCTCTCTCCCTGGCCCCACCCCTTGGTTGTGTCCCTCTTTTCCCGCTCTTTCCCCTCAGGGATTGGCAAATGTGCAAAAAATGGCTTATTGGTGGGCTCATGCATGTACCTCCTTTCCCTGTCTTCACAAACAGCAGTCCCATGCAGTCTGCCTGTGACATACAATTGAATTATGCCTTTGTTCTTAACATAGCCAAACCTCCTGTCCACCAATTTAACTACCCAAGGTAATAAAAAAAAAACAAATACAACACAAATACTACTATATGCTACATTTCCATAGACTATGTGGTGGCTGTTTTTAATACTTCATCACAACTGATGGTGAAGGTGGTTGTTGTCTTCATTTAATTGTAATATTCTTTCCTCTCATTAATAGTGAGTTATGATGTAACTTCAGCAAGAGATATGTTATTGTTGGCATCATGTCAAGAAGAACAAAAGAAATGGGTTTCTCATTTAGTAAAGAAGATCCCCAAGACACCACCATCGAGTTTCATTCGTGCTTCTCCCAGAACTCTTTCTACAAGGTCCTCAGCCAATCAGTCATTCAGAAAAGTTAAGAATGCTTCTGGAAAAGCTAGGTGAGATGAGAATAAACTAAACTGTAATCCTTTTTAATAGGAAAAAGTATGCCTATTTTTAAGGCAAATAAAGTTATATTATTCAGATATCATGACAAATCTCTATTTAACTATGATGGCATGGACACAGGTGGTAGTTGTGCTTGCTCCCTGCTCTCATTGTGCACAGAAGATTCCTGGTTTTCAAAGCCTTGACTCAAGCTCCAGTTCACTATGACATTCAAATGCAAACATCTGGAAAAACTGAAATTTGTTTCTTCCCTACATACTGGGATTTTACATTTGGATTAAGTTGAAGGTTTAAAATCCCAGTTTGTGGGGAAGGAACGAATGCTAATTTGCTCGGACATCTGAGTTCAAACATCACAGAAAATTGAGAACTTGATTCAGGAATCACCAAACCAGGAAGCCTTCAGTTCATCTTCGTAGCATCTGTGCAGTCCCACATGGGACTGTGCTTCCTCAGGCCGGCCATGGAGAGAAGCTAGCAACCTTAAAAATAAGTTTCTAGAGTTCTAAGAGTGCTCCCCCTCCCTTACAGTGTAGCTTTTCCTGCCCAAAGGTCACGTGATGTGGGAGGGGCGAGCACTCTTCCCTCAGTTCTCTTGCCATTGCTGAGAGAGGACATAAATCAGCAAGCTTCGTCAAATGACATCTCTCACAATTTTTTTTAAATTTACATGGGATTTATATACTGCCCATGACCCCTAATGGTTCTCAGAGCGGTTTACAGTCAACTACAGCATAGTAGTTAATACCTAACTAGGGCCACAATTCTCTTTGGGGGAGGGGATATCCTACCAGCACCCTTGCGACTTAATCCTTCTTCCTTTTTCCGGCGGCCTCGTTGGTCTTTTTTTTCGGCGATCCAGATGGCTGGCGACCAGGTCCGAGCAGGCTCTTGATGATTTCTTCTCCTTCGGAGCGACGCTGCTTTTTCGGGCGCTGCTTCCGGCAATGTCCTGTCGGCTCCTGCCGTGCTGCGTCCCACGTCACGACGTCGCTCCACCTCCACTCGATTCGGCCGCTGTCTTCCCTGGATTGTTCAACTTTCTCCGCCGCCATTTCTCTTCTCGCTGCCACCGCCTCTCTCCCTCTCCGCCGCCGCTGCTGACCGCACTCCCGGCACAGAGCCAGGAGGAGGGTGCCCCCTGCCACCTAGGGCAGGTACCCATTCCTCTTGTTATTACTAGAGCCGCTGGGTTGGCGGGAGCTGGGACGGGGGACGGGCCCCAGTCTCTTGACACCTTCTGATGCTGAAGTTCTTGAGATCCTGCCATCACAGTGTGATAGAAGGGAAGACAGACCTTCAACCCAAGAGCCATTGCAGAATGTGCTGTGGTTCCCATTTCCCATGATGGGGCTCATGGGACCGACACCAGGCTCCTTAATATCTCCCTTCTTCCTTGAAATCCAGCAACAAGAAACCAACCACAAACAGTCAGTGCTCTACCATTGACATGGCGTTACATTTCTCCATATCTGAAGATGGCATCGTCAGAGGTTCTGACCTGGAATCTGAAGGCACTTCGATCTTCTTCCCGGCTCCGACATCCCCAGAAGAGAGGCTATTACGCACCTTGGACATGAAGTGTGCGCTCCTGTTTTACTTAAATAGAACGAGACGTGACTCTCAACTTTTCATCTCCTATGCGCCAGCAAGGCAAAGGGACTCGCATCACGGCTCAGTGCCTATCGAGGTGGATTGTAAGTCTCATTCGCCTCATTCACCTCTGCTACCTTATCGCCAAGCAGCCATTACCTGGCCCTATCAGGGCTCATTCAACCAGAGCTGTTGCAGCCTCAACTGCCTTCCTTCAGGGAGTTCCCCGATGGACATTTGCAGAGCCGGTACGTGGGCTACGCCTAACACGTTCATAAGGCACTATGCCCGAGACGTCCGAAAGAGCTCTCGTACCAACATAGGATGTCACATCTTATCCTCGGCTTTGCAGTAATGACCTGCCAGCACCCTCCTCCAGGTAGGCTCGCTAATCTCCCATGGGTGTGAAGCACAGAGACCACGTCGAAGATAAACAGGTTGCTTACCTGTAACCGGTGATCTTCGAGTGGTCATCTGTGCATTCACACCACCCGCCCTCCTTCCCCGCTGCTGTCAGCTTCTACATTTTTCATAGGGGTTTATTCGCGGTAGTTTGAAGGAACTGGCAGGAGGCTCTGGGCATGTGCGGTGGGGTTCCTGCAGATGCCTGAGGTCTGGGCGCAGAAGTCCATTAGCGCTTGCTACAATACCGATCGATCCAGCACAGGCGCACTGTATCCCATGGGTGTGAATGCACAGATGACCACTCGAATGCACAGACGACCAGTTACAGGCAAGCAACCTGTTTTTTCCCTTGCTCTAAAGCTAATTGAATCTGACTCTAGGGGGCGGCGCTCATCTCCGTTTCCAAGCCAAAGAGCCAGTGCTGTCCGAAGACTTCTCCGTGTTCATGTAGCCAGCATTACTAAATGCCAAGGCCCACGGAATGCTGTTACCTTTCCATCAAAGCGGTATCTCTTTATCTACTTGCAATTTCGAACTGCTAGGTTGGCAGGAGCTGGGGCCAGAGGCGGGAGCTCACTTTGTCACGTGGCACTAGGGTCTTGAACTGCCAAACTACAGGCCTTCCGGTCTGCAGCTCAGCGTCTTAACCTCTAAGCCACCGCAGTCCATAATCATATGTTCGATGGTTTAGATTTTATCATAGAGCATCTGCATGTTCTGTTAGAGTATGATATTCTTTTAAGAACATAAGAACATAAGAGACGCCAATGTTGGATCAGGCCAAAGGCCCATCCAGTCCAACACTCTGTGTCACACAGTGGCCAGAAATACCAGTGCCATCAGGAGGTCCAGCAGTGGGGCCAGGACATTAGAAGCCCTCCCACTGTTGACCCCCCCCCCAAGCACCAAGAAGACAGAGCATCACTTGCCCCAGAGCCCCTAGCTATACCTTGTGGCTAATAGCCACTGATGGACCTCTGCTCCATATGCTTATCTAATTCCCTTTTGAAGCCGTCCATGCTTGTAGCACCCACCACTTCCTGTGGCAGTGAATTCCATGTGTTAATCACTCTTTGGGTGAAGAAGTACTTCCTTTTATCCGTTCTAACCCGACCGCTCTGCAGTTTCATGGAGTGCCCACGAGTTCTTGTATTGTGAGAAAGGGAGAAAAGTACCTCTTTCTCTACCTGCTCTTTCCCATGCATAATCTTATAAACCTCGATCATGTCACCCCTCAGTCGTCTTTTCTCCAAGCTAAAGAGCCCTAAGCGCTTTAACCTTTCCTCATAGGGAAAGTGTTCCAACCCTTTTATCTTTCGAGTTGCCCTTTTCTGCACTTTTTCCAAAGCTATAATATCCTTTTTAAGGTGTGGTGACCAGAACTGCACACAGTATTCCAAATGAGGTCTCACCATTGATTTATATAGGGGCATTATGATATTGGCTGATCTGTTTTCAATACCCTTCCTAATAATCCCCAGCATAGCATTGGCCTTCTTTATTGCAGTCACACACTGTCTCGACATTTTCAGTGAGTTATCTACTACGACTCCAAGATCTCTCTCTTGATCAGTCTCTGCCAGTTCTGACCCCATTAATGTGTATTTATATTAGGGTTTTTGGCTCCAATGTGCATCACCTTGCACTTGGCCACATTGAACCCCATTTGCCATGTTGACGCCCACTCGCCCATCCTTGACAGATTCCTTTGGAGTGCCTCACAATCCTCACTGGTTTTCACCACCCTGAACAACTTCGTATCATCCGCAAATTTAGCCACTTCACTGCCTACTCCCAACTCCAAATCATTAATGAACAAGTTAAAAAGCAGTGGACCAAGTACTGATCCCTGCGGTACCCCACTGCTTACCTCCCTCCACTGAGAAAATTGCCCATTTATACTCACTCTCTGTTTTCTATCTAGATGGATAGTCTCAGCTATTAGAATAGCATACACTGAGTCAGGTACAAGCTGTCCATTCTCCCATGTGGGACTGCATAGAAGCCACGAAGATGAAAACCGGGTTGCACTTACCTGTAACCTTTGTTCGTCGAGTGGTCTTCTCTGCAGGCACACATCCCTCTCTCCTTCCCCGCTGTGGGCTTCTTTATTTATGCTCACTTCTTACATTGGTGAACGGAGAACTGAGGGAAGAGTGCTTTCCTCTCACACATCATGTGACCTTTGGTTGGGAAAAGCTACACTGTAGATGTAAGGGAGAAGGAGCATTCTTGGGGCTCTAGAAACTTCTTTTAAAGCTTGCTAGCTCATCTCTGTGGCCAGCCAGCAGAAGTGCAGTCCCCATGTGTGCCTGCACAGAAGACCACTTGATGAACAAAGGATACAGGTAAGTACAACCCCATTTTGCTCTCTGTCCAAATGGAAGAAGGCAGGGGATTGCTTAAGTACAAGAAAAAAATACAGTTGATTTGTCATGACATCTGAATTTGGCCTATTTCCAAGTTAAGGACATTTTATAAAAGGTCTTTTCTTTTTGGAATACAGCAAACCTCTTATTTGACCAAGTACTAGCAACTAACTCCTGTAGCAGCTATTGAAACAGTTTAAGTTCATAATGTAAATTGAGCAAATTGTTTTTCAAATGATACGTTTTAAATTAACTTCTCAATTGTATATTGACAATTCCAAAATTGTATGCTTTTATAATTATTTGTTTTCTATTCGTAAATTCCATTGATTTTTAAATTATTCATACAGTTTTAAACATTCAAATAAATACCAAATCACTCAAACCTACCATTCCACTGCCCATTCTAACTCGTGTCTTATTTAACAAACCAAACAGTCCCCACTTTTCAATATGATCAATTAGAGTTTGAATCATATATGCTGTTTATTATATATTTTTTTCATAGTAATAGAAATGTACGTGAAACATTTTGGGAAATGGCTATGTACCAGTAATCAGTAAAACCATAGAAATTTGTTACAATTACTGTTACTGTCATTGCTAAGCATAGACTAATGATAACCAGATGAAGTGTTATCTGCTCTATTATTTGATTGCTTTTGCCTCCTCTGAACTTCTTTATATTTTTGCCAAAGTTTCAACAAGGTATTCTAATTAAGGCTGTACCATTGTCATAGACAAATGCTCTTTTGTAAACAGTGGCCTGAATCCTAAATACAATCAGCAGAAAACACAGTTGTTTACCATGTTCCTTTTCCTAGCAGTCCCTTCCACACCGTGGAAAGTAGATTTCCAGGTTACCGGACCTGTGTATACCAGTGGATTGTAGTAGGAGGGGGTGGGAGACCAAATGGCCCTCCCTGCCTTTTCTGTCAATGAAGCCCCATTGCAAAAAACCAAGGTCTTTTACACTTGAGGGTAGTTGGGCTCCAACTAGAGTCGCCAGTTCCAGGTTGGGAAATATTTGGTGATTTTTGGAGTGGGGCCTGAAGTAGTCAAGTTTGGGGGAGGGGCCCTCAGCAGGGTATAATGCCATAGAGTCTGCCTTCCAAAGCAGCCATTTTCTCCAGGTGAACCGATCTCTGTAGCCTGAAGATCAGTTGTAATCCCAGATCTCCAACCACCATCTGGAGGTTGGCAAGCCTTGGTCCAACCCATTATAGCAACCTAGGTACTTTGGTTAACCAATCTTGTTTTTGTTTTCTTTCTGGGTTTTTTTTTTGTAAATGATTAATATTGTAAGTAAATAAAAATACTAACCAGTTAGTCTGCAAAGTGTTTTCCAGTTTTGATAGCTTTGTCTTCAAAAATGTTAAGTGTATACATAAAAAGTGTGTGAAGTATCCCATACTGAACAAAAAACCCCCAAGAATATAATAGCAGAAATATTAGCCTTACTTTCAAAGAAATTAACCTGACCCTTTCTGCTGTAGCTGGTGTTTAACTTCTCGTTTTTGTGGTGTAGTCAAATAATAAGCTCTTCCAGGGGGAAAACCCCCCAATGTAGAAGCCAATTATGCTGTGTAAGGAAAATATATATAGAGACAAAAAAAATCTTCCTAAGCTGCTTTCCCATTGACTTATGTAAATTGTCTAAAATAGTATGGATTGTTCCAATAGTAATTTTAGTTTTCCTAAACAGAAGCTCAGTTTGTTTGTTAACTCAACAGTAGAGTCATTACAGAAGCTGGATATCATACCTCATTCTATCATGGTATAATTTAGAATAGTATTGTTTTTTAGTATTTCTTTCCATCTTCGTCATTCTGATTCCTTACCTATGCAGGTCTTATTAAATCTTTTGGTATATCTCCTCCTTACTCATTCTACCATTTTAATCACTCAGAAGCCATTTTCAGCCATTTCTCCTCTAAGCTGTGGAGTCTTGTGAGCAAAAGTTCTACTTTGTGAGCTACTGGCATTAAAGTTGTGACCAAGCGATTTGGCTGCTGCATACATTAGTTTGCTCTGGAGCCATCCTTCCTGAGCTAAGACAAAAATGTGTGAGCCGGAGGCTAAAAAACTGAGAGCTAGTTCACACTAACTCAGCTTAGAGGGAACACTGATTAGGATGTATAATCATGAATTTCAGTTTAAGAGTTCCTTTAAGCTTAGAACCATCTTCCTACTGGGAAGGAAGTAATTTGCTTCACTTAGTGTTATTGTTATGTTGAGAAACATTTTTATGTACTTGAATTTAAATCTTTACGAGAATTTTCTGCCATAGTATTTGAGGTTTTGCATTCTTCAGCTGGGCCAAAGCCGAAAGGACCCTCAGTTGTGGAAGTGTCTGATGGTGAAAGGAAAGTCCGATGCTGCAAAGAACAATACTACATAGGAACCTGGAATGTAAGATCTATGAATCAAGGTAAGCTTAACGTGGTCAAAAATGAGATGGCAAGACTGAACATCGATATCCTAGGAATCAGTGAACTAAAGTGGACAGGAATGGGCGAATTTAACTCAGAAGACCATTATATCTACTACTGTGGCCAGGAATCTCGTAGAAAAAATGGTGTGGCCTTTATAGTCAACAAGAGAGTGCAAAAGGCAGTACTGGAGCCTGGCGGGAGATTGTCCATGGGGTCGCGAAGAGTCGGACTCGACTGTGCGACTGAACAACAACATTCTTCAGCTAATCTTAATCTTCTTTCTAGTTTGCTCTGGATATGGGGATACTTTAGACATGGTTACTCTAATGCTGAGCAAAGTATTTTTCTTTCTTAAATATAAAATATAGAAACCACGTTTTGACTACCAGGAAAGAGTAGCTAATAAAGAGGCAAGAATAATCCAGAAGCTAAACCCGTAAATGTACAGCTGTGTCAACTATTGAGGCAAATAACATAAACATTAAAATCTGTTCCTGGTGCTATAATTTCTGTAGTTATTCCACTTCTATTCTAGCATTCCATTTCTTCAGTTTATGCTTCCTGTATTTTAAAATTTCTGTATGTATTTATTTTCTAACCAGATCACAAGCCACATCACATTCTTAATCCGTGTTTCTCTTGGTTGGTTTAGCATTATAGTCTTGGGAAGAATATCTGTAAATGCATTTAATGTAGGGAATTTTGCAATATCTTCAGCTTTTTGTAATTAATATTTATCTACCTAGTGACTGTAAGGCAATCACTCATTGGTATTGTCCTGTTTATTAACTTCTGTGAGAGTCTTCAGTCCTGATTGCAACAGATTAGTAAATTCATCTTGTTTTTTCATAATGCAGATCTGTATCTAGGGAAAGTTCTTGTAAAGATGATGGTATTGCTGTATAGTTTTTAAACTTTGAAACATGCAAAATAACTGATAAGCTAAGTTAAGGTGCTTTGATCTGAAGCTTACTTCTAATAGCATTTAAATCTCTCTAAACCCACTTAGATGGACTGGCACTTATATACGTTGGAATGGAGAATTAACATTCATAAATTGTGTGTACTTCAGGACAATGGTAAATAAGGCTGTTGGAGTGGCCTTAATTGTTGCAACTGCTGCTGAACTTCTCAGGATGGTGTAGTTACAGGTGTAGCTGATTGGCTGACGTTGTTTTACTCTTTTGTTATGGTTTGCTGAAGTTATAGATGAGAGTGAGACAGGTGAAATAGAAATAATATGTATTTATTCTAACTAGTTAACAATTCTGAGTTTTGAATTATATTTAACTTAACTGTTCCTGGGGCTATTAATCTTTATTTGTTTCCCTTGTGAATGGTTTTACTCCCAAGATCCAAAATCTGGTAACCAGTGGTTATTAAAAAAATATTTAACATCTTATTCCAAATATTTCAGATTACTTCCTTATGGTTATTAGAAAACAGCTAAAGTAGCAATAATCTTTATTTTAATAAATGCACATATACCAATACTCTGTGTGGTACACAGCTTGGCTTAGATATAATAATAAAGGTTCTGCAAAAATAGAATTTACTGCCATGATTATTTACAGTATTAGAATTAGTATTTCCTTTTCAAATTTCCTTTTAGGGGAGGGAAGCTATTTAGTCATGCGTCTCTATCATTACATGTGGAGTTAGCATTGTAAAATTACAATAGCACTATATTTCCATTTAAAGAAAAAAGTCTATTTTCTTTCTCTTGTCAAAACAGATCATTGTTTCTTTTTCCCACTATCCTTTAACTGAGATTTTTAATTAGGTCTTGCCTTCAAAACAAACTAGCATTACTCCTCTTAGGCCACCTTTTTATCATACAGAGTGTACAGTTGACACTCAACACACACACAAATTGTAGTGAAATGCTAATTTCTAAATTTCAATAGGTCAAAGGAATATGGATCTATGGGGGACATTACCCATTCAGAAAACTCCAGTTATTGGTGAGTAGCTTTTGCTTTTAAACCCACTGGCAGTTGTCTCATGTGACATTAGTAAAAAAGCAAATTTGCTTTCTTCTAGTAATGAAGGAAGCTGCTGCTTAGAATAAGAAACCCACTATTATTTCTTATCATTTTGAAGAACCATTACTTTCTCTTTCTATGATCCAGAGTGGATCACTTGCTCAGAATCTTTCTTAACCTTCTACTTTCACCTCTTGATACTGTTTGTTTTAACAAAACAGTATGCGTATCCTTGCAACAGTCTTAATTCTTCTATGTAGAATATGCCATGGTGAAGTCCATTCTTTCAAGGTCTTCTCTTCTTTTATGGTGAAGGTATGGTCATTATTCTTGATTTTGCCTACTCTGAAAAAGGTCTGTGTTAACATTCAGTAATATCAAATACTGGGGACTTGCTAAATATTGAGTACATTTTGGGGAATAAGTCAGGTTAGCAGAGGGAGTAGTGGATGTTCTCATTTAATTGCAGTTTCACAGTATTTGTATTCCATTTTAATTGTGTTGCTACAGTATTCCCTGGAGAAGGCACAGATAAAGTTGATTTGTGTGCTAGTCATCTTTTGCAGTATCTTCCTGTTTGATTTATTCTGCTATTTCTTTGGGACAGTCAGAGTAGCTTCTTTGGGGCTTGTAGGCCTTCTTCTCTCAAGGCACTGACTAGATGTGTGCCTTAGCTAATTTTCTGGGCCCACTATGTTTATATGTTTTGGATACAGTATTATCCATATTCCTTACTTTGAAACTAAAGAAGTTAGCAGCATGGTAACCTGAGACTGAGGCACACATTAAGACATCCAAAGTTTGAATCTTACTTCTTTCATGATCATACTACATGGTTTAGGCAAACTGTTGTGAAAGGTTTTGAACATTTTAAAGCATTCTATAAATGTTAAAATTATTATGGTAATAAGCTTGTGTCTCAGAAGTAGCCATTTCATGATAGTATAATTTTTCATGTGTAATATTATTGTCAGAAAGTGCAAACCATGCTTATAAAATCCTTATTCAATTTTGTGGCTTCTGTGCGGTCCTACATGGGATTGCACAGGTGCAGGGCCAGCCACAGAGAGTAGATTCCCAAAGCCTCTAGAAAGATTGACTTCTCTGAGTGCTTGCCCTTCCCTCTGTCATGAACCAGAGTCAGAGTCACATTCTCAACCAAATGGTCACGTGATGGAGGCAGTTCTCTTTCTGCCATCATGGCAGTTTCTGAGGCATTTTTGTTGTGCTTGAAGCCTAAACAGCAAAAGAGGGGGGGAGTTTAAGAATTGCTCCATTTAAGAAGTTCCAGAGTTGTGGTACTAAAATGGTTCAGAATGATGAGCATTCTGACTTTCTCATGTGCTTGGGTGAAGGGGAATAACACGACGACCTGCCAGGCTTGCTGCTTATTTACTTTGAAGGCTAGGCAAGAATGGGCATCTTGCCTTAAAAGCAGTGCTATGGGGAAAATCCCTAGGAGTTCCAAGTAAATCTACTGAAGCCCCCCAGAAGAGGGTGTCAGTCCCTGCTGCCATACCTAAGTACCTCACTGAGGGTGCTTTGTCTTCTCAGAGAACTGCTTCAGAGCTCCCAGCCAAAAAGGCAAAAAAAAAAAAAAAAAAGTCAAACCATGCTGATTCAGGATCAACTCAATCTACTAAGTTGCCACCCTGAAAGAAATTGCCCTCTCCACACTTCTTTCCAACTCGGCGCTGCTGTCATTCTCCGACTCAATACCAGGCTTCTTCTCCTCCTCAGTGTCAACAGTTGGATTCATCTTGACATTGACATAGGGATCACCTACACATTGAGACTCAGCATTGCCTTGATATCAACTGAATGCCTGCCATCAGCACTGAACTCCTATATCACCTTGATGCTGAAACTTAGAATCTCCTTGGTGCTGAAGCCCACCTTCTGAATTTGACCATCAGACCTTGCACGCCTTCTCCATCCTTGGATTTGGGTGACAACTTCCATTCTGTAGACAATGACATTATGGAGATTCCTTCCTCGACTGCTCCAGCCTTGAGTCACCAGCTGGCCAAGCAGCTACTCTATCATACTGCCTCTGAAACTATGCAAAACAGACAGTGGTACCCCCAGCCTCAATCAGAATTTTGCTCTCATAGATATGGGTCCTGTAGCATCTTGAAGACCAACAAGATTCTCCTTGGTTCATGTGCTCAGTGGGAACTTTCTTAAGGGTCCCCCCCCCCGGCAGCCACCGGTACAGTCTCAGCAACCAGGCATCGTCTGACCACCCGCAAATGTATTGGAACAAGGACTGCAAGTGTGACTCCAAGGAAGAATCTGAGTGCACTTGGCTCCCTTCTCCCAACAACGCTGTGGGAGATCCTCCCCCAGTTTTGTCAACTGAGGGTCTGAAGTTACGTTCAGAACAGCTCATCAGGATGGTGAAGGTGCTGGAGTTTAACTACACTTTGTTGGATCTGATAATGAACATGTTGTACACTTCAGATTTGGGCCCTGTAGCCTTCCCCTTGGTGAAAGGCATCTTGAACATAACCTCAAACGTATGGGCAAAGTCTGCTTCTGGCCCAGTGTCCAAAAAGAAAATGGAAGATCTCTACAAGATAAGGGAGGAAGGGTGCAAATTTCTAATTCAACACTCCATAACTAGTCTGGTCACTGAGGTTCTTCCCTCAAGACAGAGGTCTGGCTCTAATTCCTCTACCTTAGACAAGGAGGGTAGAAAATTAGACATGCTGGGCAGGAAGGTATACAACTCATCTGGAGCTTTGGGTCTGTGCATCGCTAATTTCAACCTTGCTAATGGGCAGGTACCAAATGTTCCTCTTGGAAAGAATGGTCCAGAGGATAAGACCTTAGCAAAAGTGCTTAAAGCAGAAGGCTTCATATTAGGGAAGCAACAGCTTGATGCTTCTTGCTATGCAGCAGACTCTTGTAGTTGGGCATTGGCCTCAGGTGTCGGCCTTCAAAGATACTCGTGGTTAAGAGCTTCAGCTCCTCCAATACTAAAGCAAGAATTGAGGATCTCCCCTTTGAAGGGAAGACACTGTTTAGTGAGCAGACTGACTCAATCCTGGACAAGATTTGGAAGAACAAGTTGACAGCAAAATCACTGGGTATCACTCCACAGACCTTGAGCTCTCTAGACATAGTCAGCAATACTCCTATAGCAAGTATACCAGCCATCGCAGTACCACCAGTGCCAGTACTGCCCCCATTTTGTTCCCAGCAACAATCCAAACGTCAGCATTCAAAGCAAACAGGGAGCCCAGTCACCTAGGGAGCAGCATACGAAAGGCAAACCTCTAGCATGACTAGCAATGCAGGGTTGTTTTAACAACAGGTTGGCTAAGTTCGTTGATCAGTGGAAGTTAGTTACCCAGGATTCCTGGATCATTCAGATAATAAAGGATGATTATTTTTTGGAATACTTTGCCTGGCTATCTCACCCCCAGTTTGTCTGACTGGCACTCACCCACTCTACTAGAACAGGAGGTGGCTCAATTACTTTCCAAAGTGGCCATACAGGAAGTTCCCCCCTCAGAGAGTCATCTGGGCTTCTTCTACAGATATCTCCCTTACAAATAAAAGCTGAATGGTGGTGGCACTTCTCTAGAACATTCCATACGCTCCAAAATCGCTCTCTGATCTGTCATTCAGAGGGTCTCCCTATCCACTGGCTGTTTTGCCTGAGTCCTGCCTCCAACATTCTAAACATTTTGCTGTTCCTCTCCCCCCCATAGCCAGTCAGAACACAGAGGTTATTTGCATATGCAGCCTCATTGGCCTTTGCCTTGGAACACAGAGGTCGTTTGCATATGCGACGATTGGCTTTTGCCTCTAACATTCTAAACAGTTTTGCTGTTCTGAGGTAAAATGTGTCCAATCTCCAGGTGAGGGCTGGAGATCACTCAGAATTACAACTGCTTTCCAGATGGCAGAGATCAGTTCCCCTGGAGAAAATGGTGGGCTCTGTATCTTTATATGCTGCTGAGGTGGCCCCCGTATGACAGCCAATGTGACATAGCAGTCAGGGCTTCAGAGCACGGGAGAGGCTGCAGGTGTGTGGGGGGTGGAAAGCTGAAGAGTGAGGGGGAAATAAAGGTAGGTTGATGATTGGCTGGGAAGGAGATAGGGTTGCCAACTCCAGGTGGGAAATTCCTGGAGATGTGAGGGATGGAGCCTGGAGAGGGTGAGGTTTCAGGAGGCGTGGGACCTCGGACAGGTACAAAGCCATAGACTCCACCCTCCAAACCAACTATTGCCTTCTGGGGAACCATCATTGCCAATCTCCAGGTGAGGGCTGGAGATCACTCAAAATTACAACTGTTCTTTAGGTGGCAGAGATCAGTTCCTCTGGAGAAAATGGTGGACTCAGTGTCATTATACCCTGCTGAGGTCGCCACAGCAAATTGACACTGAGTGTCCAAGGCCGGGGCACCCGCCCAGAGCCTCTTTCTAGAGGCCGTTGTATTTATTTCCACAACGGGCCTTTTTCCTAGTTTCCTAATAAAGAAGAAAGGAGGGGGACATGAGCCAATTCTATATCTTAGGAGGCTCAATAAGCATCTTAGTCCCCAAGTGTCAAATGTTATCACTTACAGATGTCTTACCATAGTTAGATGAGTGAATATGGTTCACAGTCCTTGACTTAAAGGATGCCTTGTTGTTGTTCAGTCGCACAGTCGAGTCCGACTCTTCGCGACCCCATGGATCATCTCCCGCCAGGCCCTCCTGTCTTCCGCCGTCCTCTGAAGCTGGCTCAATTTCATGTTCGTTGCATCGATGACACTGTCTAACCATCTCATCCTTTGCCGTCCCCGTCTTCTTTGACCTTCAATCTTTCCCAGCATCAGGGTCTTCTCCAGGGAGTGCTCCCTTCTCATTTGGTGGCCAAAGTATTTGAGCTACTTCCACATTTAAATACACAAAGCATGTGGGAAGTTTCTAAGGTTCCAGTGTGGTGGCCACTATTATCAATATATTGTACTCTCTTTTGGATT